AAATTAATGTTACAAAATTTCATGATAAAGAGGAAAATGTTACAACTCCTTGCACGCACACACTGCAACGTTGTAACATTTGTCATGTAATTTTGTAACATGTTACATTGTATATTCCATGTAGATGTTAGTCGCGTCGGTTTTACAAGCAACTGTACTCAAATATGTTTCCATAATCGAATATATGAACTTCACAAAATTTTTGATGTTTCATTTAACCTCTAAACAACGAGATATCGTTGGTTTCTGACACCAAAATCTATATATATGTCATACATGACAATATGTTTTAAACGGGGATTTTGTTCTCGGAAAACCACAGTGCGTGTTTAAATGTAGGTAGGTCATGATTACCTATCAACTGTCATTTAATTAGAAAAAATATAGCATCTCACGTAGACGATGTGATATTTCATAATAATTTGTAACAATATTGAAGCTGGGTAAACAACTTTATAGAAATAAAATATTAAAATACGACACTTGATTTTAATATAGATCGAAACCAGTTTATTTTACATAGACAACGTAAACACACCTCTCGGCCAACCAGTTAGGGGAGACTGGAAATGTTGCATTGCCGAGATTCCGTAAATCTTTCTAGATAATTGTAGACAAAATGAAGAAGAAAGAATAAAGAAATTATTATTTTATTTCAGAAAGTAATACAAGTCGGCTTGAATAGTTATTTATACGTTAACACTAAAATTACAATTATGAAAAAAAGATTTCTAACTATTTAAGCTACGATTATTTGGGATTAAAAATCCTGCTAATGGAGATCGCAATTAATATTGTTTGTTCATTTCATTATAATTGCAATTGTAAATAAAAGCTGATATATATATAATATGTTTACATATTCCGTAATAAATTCCATCAAATCGAAGGTCAATTGACTGGATTATAATATGTTTATACTCGTAAACAAACCAAACATAAATTATTAACATGGCGGACAGTATCCGTTTGGTAGAGGGTAGAGAGATACAAAATTCAGTTATTTTCAAAACAACAAAAATATATTTTTAAATTATAATCTTACTAATATTATAAATGCGAAAGTTTAGATGGATTGAAGACTGTTTGTTTGAATATTTCCGGAACGACTCAACGGATATTGATGAAATTTGACACAGATGTAAAACATAGTCTGGAAGAACACACAGGCTACCTTACAATTTTTTTAAGCCTGCGTGGGAAGTCGCGGTCGACAGCTAGTATGATAATAAAAGCGAAAGTAAAAATTTAACTTTTATCGTCCCTTTAATAATAAATAAATAAAAACAATATAGTTAATTAACTGCGTATAACCTGATTCGTTGATAAGTCGAGAACATAAACAAACTGGCTACATTAACATACCTGCAGCGGTCCTGATAGCTTCAGTATACCTCATCTCTTCGCAGAGATTAGTCGGACAACAATGTCGGAGCTAAAAGTAAGTATATTATTTGATAAAACCTACAGTTATCTTAAATATTTGTACTGCAATTATGCGCGGATTTAGTTCGCGAAAGATAATTTTATCAGATCTTTTCGCTTTAAATTATTTTAACAATATACACGTCCTATGACATTCATAATAACGAAAGGAAATATTGTATTTTTAATTATGTTCATAGAATCATCAACTTGACTAGAATATCAGATTTTTAACGCTCGTAATTTTCCACAACATTCAAGATCAAATTAGTGCCTTTGTTAGTTATTTTTTTTTATAATATTCTAAAATCTCTTACTATTCTGCTCAAATTTAACTATTTACACAATCCATTTAACAACTTTGCTGTCATTCTTACTACCTAATTTTCTATTTAAATCAAATATCAATACACCACTGACAATCTGCATCTCTTTTCGTCAGTACCTGTCAGGATTCGGATCGGAGTTCAGTTCAGAGGACCCGCGTCGGCCGGGTGCACTGCCAGTCGGTCAGAACTCTCCGCAACGCTGTCCGTACGGCCTGTACGCAGAACAACTCTCGGGGTCCGCATTTACCGCGCCCCGAACTGAGAACAAACGATCCTGGCTCTACAGGTAGGCAATCTTCGCCCGAGATATACTTAAATTTCATAACGGCTCGTGGGTTATTCCAGCGAACATGTGCCCGTGGAGAAGGGTATCTACCAATCTCATTAAAGATGGTAAATAATCAAGAATTGGGCAAACTATAATTTGTTGAAGAATACGAAAGTACGTACTTGCCTTAGGCCTTATAGCAGAGCTGGGTTAAGTTTTATAATATGTATAGAATACCGGATGATATACGACACGCTCCAGTGGCGCAATTGGTTAGCGCACGGTACTTATAGGTCAGTGTTCGTGAGCAATGCCGGGGTTGTGAGTTCGAGCCTCACCTGGAGCAATGTTTTGTACTTGTTTGAGCAAGGAATTTACTTAAATCCAGGACTTAAAAATGGCTCCTTTGTGTAACATGCAAACTTGGGATAAGTGAAATTTGTGACATTGAAAATTAACAAAGTTATATTAAAATAAACTTATTTGGGTTTTTGTAAAATCTTTTATATGGAAATATAACTTATTAAGATGTTGAAAAATGAAATAAGACAGTTTTAAAATATTCATTATCTTTTATAATGCATCCATAGATAGAGAATGAATTTAATTCCCAATGTAGAATAATACGTATTGTTATAGAATCCGTCCATCCGTCGTACACCAGCCGTTCCAAAAAAAAGATATCGCTAAATATCTCACCCATAACTGGGATGAAGCAGAACCGGATCCTAATCAGGTATTATTTCAGTCACACAAATTACTTCACTTTTTTAATAGAAAGTTTCATAAAATATATGTCTCAATAAACAGTCTCGCTGGCTCCCCTTCGACATCCCGCCAGTGGATCAGAAGGTTGACTTCGTGCGGGGTCTGCATACAGTATGCGGCGCGGGTGATCCGCGGGTACGCCACGGCCTCGCCATTCATGTCTACCTCTGTAACACATCAATGGATAAGAGTGCCTTTTATAGCAGCGATGGAGACTTACTTATAGGTAAATCAATTGATTTTAATTACGTTTTTCCATTCCAAAAATATTTTTGTTTACGTTAGCTCGGATGTCTATGGAAATCCATCCAATCCTTCGATAAAAAATTGTAGCAATCTTCAATTACTGATATGCAACGATGTGAAGTATACTCTCTACGACAATTAGATTTAAAACTTCATTCCTTTTATGTTCTTTCACGCAGTACCTCAACAAGGAAACCTGAAGATCATTACGGAATTCGGTATAATGAAGATATCTCCCAACGAGATAGCCGTGATACAGCTCGGCATGAGATTCGCTGTCGAAGTCGAAGGTCCTAGCAGGTAAATAATATATTGCTAACTAAACCTTTACGCAGTAAACAAAAATCTTATGTTTAAATTGTACGAAATCATTGTGTTGCATAAAAATTTCAGGGGCTACATTTTAGAAGTATTCGATGGCCACTTCAAGCTGCCTGATTTAGGACCTATTGGGGCAAATGGTTTGGCAAATCCTCGAGACTTTTTTACCCCAGTTGCTTTCTACCAAGACGAAGACATACCAGGTACACTTTTCTCTCTTCTGCTTTACCTCCATTATATCTTCCTTCTCTGTCATGTAACATTTATAGTTTCATTTGTTATTATAATTCAAATTCCAACAGGATTTAGAATAATAAACAAATATCAAGGCGCACTTTTCGAAGCTGTCCAGAACCATTCTCCTTTCGACGTGGTGGCTTGGCACGGAAACTACGTGCCTTATAAATACGATCTCAGTAAATTCATGGTCATTAACTCCGTATCATTCGACCATTGTGTAAGTATTGTTTGAATTACAATTTAATAGAAATAATATACATAGTTAATATAAACCAATAATTATTTCTTTTAACATTTTTAGGACCCTTCTATATTTACGGTGCTGACTTGTCCGTCGACAAAGCCTGGTGTGGCGATCGCTGACTTTGTCATCTTCCCGCCGCGATGGTCTGTGCAAGAAAACACATTCAGACCTCCGTATTACCACCGTAAGGCGTATTTCGGTATTTTACATGGTTAAATCGTAATATAACAATGGTAGATTAAAAATTAAAAGGCACGGCTTATTAAATTCATATGGTTTGGAACAGAATAGGAATATAGTCAATTCCTATACATTGGTTTAGTAGCAGAATGTTTGTATTCTATTATGTTTTTCAAGGAAATTGTATGAGCGAATTCATGGGTCTTATCCTCGGCTCGTATGAGGCGAAGGAGGACGGTTTCCTTGCGGGCGGCGCGTCTCTACACTCCATGATGACACCGCACGGACCCGACGCGCAATGTTTCGACGCCGCGTCCAACGCAACATTGGTACCTCAAAAAATTGCAGTTGGGACGCAGGTTTGTGTTGAGTTTCCATTGTCCATACACATTTTAGAATTAGAAGAAAGTTTTTTGTAAAATATTTTTAGGTTACTATTTGCACCTTTTAAAATATGTAGTTACTACTGCTCTGATCTTAATAAAACAGAAAAAGTATAGCTCTTTTCAAATATCTCGGCGGCTCAAGGTTATAAATGCTGCGCAGTGCCCTCCCTCGCATCCCGCTACACCTAACATTGTGTTGTGCGCAGTAACTCGGGCAAAGTTAAGAGCGGTCAAAATATTTGAAATATAATACGTTTATTCACATTCCAGGCATTTATGTTCGAGTCATCTCTAAGTATGGCCATCACGCGCTGGGGTCTGCAGACTTGTCAGAAACGAGACGACAAATATTACGAATGTTGGCAGAAACTACCAAAACTCTTTTCCGACAACATAAAAGTTTAATTTTTATTGTTTTATATGTAGTTTATCATGTTATATTTTTTTGTTATTGCAAGAGTTCTATTGCCGAAACTCTTGTTTTAAAAAAACATTTTGTTAATCTGTATTTTTAAACAATTTTCTTTTTTGGCAGTGACTAATATGTTTTAAAGTCTTAAATAAAACACAACACATATTACGATAGTCTTTAATTAATAATAATATTTAGCAGAGCTTAAAAAATACATACCATTATTGAAATATTATTACAATAAAAAAGAAATTCAGTCGCATCATCAACGACGCACCAACGTACGACGAAAACTATGTTGACGTATGAGAAATAAATTAACACGGAATTGACACACGACCGTTTGGAATTGCGTTCGTATGAACCTTGTTTAGTGGTTTATAAAAAAAAATTAACCCATGATGTTTAACATAAATAAAATGTGTGCATTTCATACTAATAATATTTAAACCACGAGAGATTTCGACCGAGCAACATTGGTCCCAATCATTTAGTTTAAATAGCTAGCGGTATTATGTAGAAAGTTTAATATTAAAAATGGTCTGAGGGGCGCCACATTCGCTTTGTACATTGCAACACTGAAACAACTTATGTCATTGAAGAGTAAAAATTTACAAATTTAAACATTCTCTCCAATACAATCTATACATATTTATAAATTTGATTTGTCTGTGTGTAATACTAAAAAAAAATAATCGTACAAATGTATTTGCACTACTTATAAAACTAATATTTAAAATTTATGTCTGTACGTCTGCCTACAAGGTCACGTTTGTTCCGGGTAATCTCCAGAACAGCTGGACAAATTTTGACAGAACTTTGACTGAATATTTGACAATTTATTAACTATTAACGGATTTTTAGCTGACTTCAAAACAAGGTTTTCAATTCTAAATTTTTTGACATCGAAACGATACCTTTATTTTCGATGCTACACTGATTTTATATACCTAAAAACAATTCTTCATATAGCTTAAGATTTCAAATTGTTCATTTTCTTATACAATAAGAATAACAGTATTAAAATATAATACCGGATTAGGACCAAATGTTTGAGAAGTATGTCTGACATCTATCAGGACAGACATGATCTCAGATGTGGTCTGTGGTGGCCGTGTGACTTGTGTATGGGGTTGTGTGAGACAGGGATGTGTGAAGCTCAGCCGTGGTTCACATTAACACCGGACTCCAGCTCGGAGGCGGGCGTTTCGGGTTCCTCGTCGTTGTAAATATTCTCCGCCATCTGCCACACCTGCAAATACAATTATAATTTATGCTTTTCTATTATTTCCAAAGACACACAAGTATTTTTTTTTATTTCAATCAATAATGATTAAATCAAAATTTTTATAATATAAAATAGATAATTTTAAGGTCATGAATTGCTACTTGATGCTTTAAAAACAAAAACTATTTGTAACATATAAATCATGTAATAAACACTTTGTAACATGTTACCTGCATAATATTATCTTCTGAGACAGAGCAGATGACCCAGGGCTCGTTGGGGTTCCAGGAGAAGTCTGATATCTTGGCGGTGTGTCCTCCGTGGATGAACAGCAGCTCTGGCGGGCCGTCCTCCGCGTCCTCCGCCGTCTGTTCCTCACCGATCTTTGACAGGTCCCACACATGCAATCTGAAATATATGTTTATCAAGTGAAAAAGTCAGCATGGACTACATTCAAGACGGATTAAAAAAAACTTGTTGCCTAAGTCTTCTTCCAGACTATGTTCTATGTGTATGCCAAATTTCAGCGAGATCCTTTGAGCCGTTTTGGAGATACTTTCTAACAAATACCATCAATCTAAGCTTTCGTATTTTTATATGCTCCAATATCTAATTCTTTTAAATTTAAAAAATTTAGAATTCAAAGGTCTAAATTAAATGGATGGCCCTCTTGAGATTTACAATAGAAGACCAATTATTTTCATCTAAAAGAAGAGTAATAAGTTCTTCACAGAGTTTACTGCCTCTTGTTACTTTTTATTATAATTTGACTAGCGTGTGCATCAACAATGTGTGTACCTCCTGTCAGTGCCGCTGCTGGCGAGTATGGTCTCGTTGTGCGGTGACCACTGCACCTGGAAGATCTCGTCCTTGTGCGACTCGAACGAGTGCAGCTTCAACTTCAGGTTACGCAAGTCCCACAGCGCCACCTCCAGAAATACAACGTAAGTGTATTACATTTCTCAAAAATAATTAAAGTAATAAATTACATTTATTTAATGAAATATTAATGGAATATCTAAATCTCTCTTCAAGTATCAAGACCATCATGACTTCAGTAGTCTTTGTTTTCTTCCAGATTATGTTTTATATCTATGCCAAATTTCAGATCCGTCAAAATTTTTGCATTATATACTTAGTAGTTTAGTAAGGATTGCAGTGCTATTGCATGTGTACCATAATTTTTTTTTATTTACCGTTTTGTCAGCACTGCCAGTGGCCAGTATGAACTCGGAGTAAGGGTTGAAGCTGAGGCAGTTCACCTCCGCTGTGTGCGCATCCACCGTGTGCGAAGGCTTCGATGTGTTGTTACATCTGTTTATTTAAGAAATATTTAATTACTAAATTCAATTAAAACGTAAGGTTCTCGTAAATATATCTACTTCAACACAAAAAATAATTTGAGATTAGTATGAAAGAAGATTTGGTACACAGAGAATCTGTATTCCACTAAATTTTGAAACTTGTAAAATACATTAATGAATTACTATTACTAATAAGATAAAATATTTAAGCTATTGAACATAAGCAAACATTATAGATATAAACTTTTTTGTATGCCTCAACTTTAAAAGTAATAAAAGTACCTGGTATCCCAGATCATGAGTTTCTGGTCATCGGCCACAGAGCCAAACAGTGACTCATGGAGCAGGTGCCAGGCGACATCCTCAACAACCGCTGTGTGCCCCGTGAACACAGACTTGGCCTCAATAACGCGACCCTCCTTGGGCGTCGCGTTGATATCCCACAGACAAATTGTGTGGTCATCACTGAAACAATTTATTTTTTCATAAATATGTCACCCTAGACTTTTTGTGCGCAAAAAAAAGAAATTAAAGTAGCCATCAAACATAAAAAAAATTAAAAATAGGGTTTTAGTATCATATATACGAAATGTGAATTTTTACAATATTACATACAGACACTACAATTTTATTAACATTTATAAAAAATATTAACAATTATTCTATTTCATGTGTTATGTACACACATTTCCGTAACTCTAAAAATGTTTAGCAATACATTTTAAAACTATTCTTCAATTGTACTAAATTCTTCATACCTTGCAGACAGTAGATACCCATTCAGATTAGGGTTCCATGATAAACCATAGCCTTCCTTTTGATGTCCTCGCAATCTAAAAAGAAGAAAAAAACATTTATTCAATAATTATTTTTATAGAATAAAAGATAAATTTACTGCTTGACTTAAGCACTGTTTTTTTAAGTTTCTATCCTAAGTTTGGAAAGATTGTTGAAGGCACTTCGTATGGATTGTAGTTGGGATTCTTCACACAGTTAGACTAGCTGATGTGTTAACAAAGTGTTAATAAATCAATAACCTTACCTAAGGTCAGGATGACACTCTCCCGATGGCTCTGGCTTTGAGGGATGCTTTGTGTAGTCAAACACGAGGACATCAGAGGATGGTGTCTTTGTTGCAATGACACAGGGGTTCTGAGGCATGTAGCGAGCCCTGTTCACCTCACCTTCGTGATTGATTTTAATCTCTATGTCTATTTTACCAGACACAGACCCAAAACCACCGAATTCTAAAAAAATCACAAAAACATTAATTTCTTGAATGCCTTTTTTGTGTGGATAAACTGGTTACTGCAAAATTACTTTAGTGTAGATTTACTTTTAAAGCTACTACCTTTCCTCAATGTTGCAGTAGATATTGTAAAAACTATATGAGAAATACGGAAAGCAAATATGTACAAGGAATACAATATATATAGCAATAGGTAATAACTGGTAGGAACATAGAATTTGTAAAGAAATCTGAATAGAATAGAAGAGATATGAATAAAGTTACAAATAGTTGCAAGTTGAAAGTATGTAAGATTCCTTTTTATGAAAATGGCGGTCTTACCTCCTTTATCATTATCATAATGACTTGCATCAAACTGTGCATCTTCATTTGGAAGCTGAACGCTAGCAATCAACAGATGATTCTGCTCATCTGATGTGTGTGTGCCCAGAATCAATCTAAAAGTTAGAAATCTTTTATATGATATACTAAAATGATCTATAAAAAACATGAATTATGCTTTATGTCTCAATAAACATAACATTTAACTACGGTATGTAAAATAAACACAAACAAAAGTTGTACAATTTGTAAAAGAGAAGTTCTTTATGTAGAAGCAAATAAACTTAGTTTTAATGCATTAAAGAATTCATACAGCTACTTGTTCTAGTTCGATATAGCAAGTAATGAACCATCTAATAAAAAAGAACATCCATTATTCAAAAAAGTGATTATCATTGATAAAACATGAATTTGAAATTAATTGACTTAGAATTTAATGAAATGTTTTGTTTTATACTTTACCTGTGTACTGAATAATCTTTTCCTTCTGGCCTGGTGACGTCTGGGAGCCATTGAGCAGTAAGCGAGGGCCATTCCAGAGCATGGGTCATCACCAGGTCGTATAAGAAAGGTGTATTCTTTTTCCATATTTTATATTCTTCGTTTATAACTCTCTCTTCAACCGCGTCATCGAAAGTTTCTATAATCATAAAAAATGACAATATAACGCTGTTATACTGTTAACCAAAAAACAAAAGGTAAGCTGTCACTGAAATTGATAATTTATTTAAAAACTCAAGCAAAATGAAATATTATTTTACCTCCATCGCCTTTGTCACCCATTTTATATTAGTAGCGAACTATAGTTCGCTTTTAAATAAATGCCTAATAATTTACAATATCTAACCGGCCCCGTAAAGGCGCCAAACAACAACCTTTTCTCGGCGTTACCGTCCAACAGACAATACAATACAATGGGACTTCCGGTTAATGAAGATAAAAAACATAGAAGAATTTAATAGTCTTTAATGAAAAGCAATAAATAAAATTTTAAAATAATTATCACAATTTGCACTGGAAGCCATTACGTAATAATGTATAAGAATTATGTATCTGCCGATCTACATAATAAAGCAATATCACGATATTTTGTCAGCCAATCTTCCAACAACCTAAAGTTCAAAAGCTACAGAAAGTCTGTTTTGCCCTGTATGCTTCAGGCAACATCACTCACTCAGCAATTTTTTTTCGATTTGACAGTTGAATTGACACTTGACATTGACAGGTTATCAAACATGGCTGATGCAGCAGCAGCACGTCGTGAGGCACGAAGAAAAAGAATTTTAGAAAATTCTCACAATAGATTGCAACTTATATCAGGCAAAATCAATGATGATTGTTGTAAAGGTACATGTTTGTAAAATTGTCTTACTATTCATACTTAAAGACGGTATTAAATAGTTCTATTCTTTACAGATTCTCTTCGAACTCCTATGCTTGATCAAAATGTTGACGTACCCCTTATAACAGAGGTTAATACAGTTAATACGTGTTATGCAAATAATGGATTGTCAGTCAGTAATTTGGAAACATTTACAAGTGAGAATACAGATGTGCTCAATGACTTGACATCTTTTCTACCACCAACACCCGAACATTCACCATCACAAGACTCATCGTTATTCGGTAAACTAGTCGATAATAAATATGACATAGTTCTATTATCATTATTTATGCAAATACTTAATGGACTGTCTATTATTAAAGTGGAACAATCATATTTTTTTCTACCATTAGCTTTATATGTTGCCACTAAGTTGTTCTTTTTTCCCAAGGAAAGTAATTCCAGTATTGCTAACACTCTTTTACAAATGCAAGGAATTTCAGCGCAGAATGTAAAAGTAATATTAAATGTAATGCAATTGTTTATGGTAATTTCAAGAGATGTTTGTGTGTTTTTATTTACAACTATATGTTTACAATCAATTCACTCCATGTTAATAGATGTAACCACATAATGTACAATGCAATACAATCACATTTAATCTTGTGAATGGATGCATTGTACAAACAGCTCTTGTTATTGTTTTGGGGCACTAGGGAAGTTTGGAAACGGTAATTACAATGGCTTGTGCCTTTGATGAGAGAATTTGTGACAGGAGTGTATACTTTAGTCACTTATTGCCATTTTAGTTTTAATATAGTGCATTAATTTTTCATTAACAAGGGAAACCAGATATGACTATAATATAAAATCAAAGTGTATTCAAATGAACTTCCATTATTATTAATATGTTAAATCAGTTGAACTTGGATAGGTGAGAGTGTACGAGTGAAAAATTTTACACTTAAAGAGGTTTCTCTCTAACCTGAGTTTCTTGCTTGCGGAGGTTGTCTGTCAGGACCATACAATGACTCTTGTTTAAAGAGTTTTCTTATCATATTCTCTTTTATCCAGGTTCAACTGTATTCAGAGACTGTAATGTGTGTTTGTATCTAATCCATTATGACTTCCTGTAGTCTTATAGCTGGAATGACTTTGTAAAGTGAGGTGTCTGTTTTAAATTAACTTACTGAAATTAATTTGTTTTTTCTCATCTGATAACATTTATTCACTTTATGTGCCAGTTCTTTATCATCAAATTGTAACAAGATTTCATGTATTTTTATATTTTTAGATTGTATATTATAAATAAAATTAATTTATGGCTAGTATGAATAACTCTATGCCTATGCAAGCATTGGCTATAATATATTGCATTTAATATTTAATGCACAGTTATTTCAACTGCTGTATATTTTTATATGTACATTTTAATACTATTCTGATAATGTTTAGTTTAACATTCAAAAGCTGTAATGTATTATTACTTTCAGTGCCACCAATTTGCCTGGAACTTCCGTATGAACAGTTTAGTGGTATGGAATGTGTAAAATTTAATAAAATTGTATTGCCAATTGAACCTTCAATGTCAGGTCAGCTTGAAATAAATTTGTATACATTAAAACAATTAACTTTTATATAACAAGCTCTGATAATTGTGTTACATTTTGACTTCTCAAACCTTACTAACTACTGGATGTTTATCTGTTAGATTTCTTATCCAAAGTTCTGAAAGAAATCGGGAAATATCAATAAGTTTTATAGTTCGGGTATTTAAATTACACTGTTTCTTCTTTTTAAATGCAAAGTGCCTTGTCCATTCTTAATTTATTAAATTCTACAATAGTTTAAAGTGAAAAATTAGTTAAAATGTCCGAGCTCTAAATTTATAGTTTTAAACTTTCAATTTAAATTAGGACAATACAAAATAAAAGTCCATTATGCAGTAAAAAGTATAAGAATTACTAATAAATATATTCTAAGGTGTTTGTACTTGAATTGTAATATAAATAATAGCTGTAAAAATCAGCTTTTATCTTATAAATTGTTGTTTCTGTATGTAATGAATTTCTTAAAGCGTAAACTCCGTAAATATGTACCAAAGATGTTAATATCACTAAAATCTGTAACATTCACTGTATATTAATTTTCTTTTCAAATTGTTAAATGTGTGATGGAATTCAACCATTTCTGTAAAGTTATGATCACCGATTTTTATACATGTAAAATTAAGTGGGCAGAAATACACCTAACCAAATGTTAATAAAATTGTTTTATATGCCAATAAAAGCGACAAAATTGTGTTGTGTGTGAAAAATTGTAATTAATAAAACAGAACAGATTTTATTTCAATTATATTTTTTAAAATATTCTAATAAAAATTGTTGTAACAAAATTTTCTTTTGTTTTATTGACATTATTTATCCAACATAGTTTCTGAAATGCAAATATTCATTTTAGAAATGCTTTAGATCAGCCAGTAATTTATTTTTACGAGTTTATAAACTTGTCATGGACACACAATTATCAAATTTTATGTGAACCAGGGCTCAGTTATAGTTATTTCTGAACTATTCAATTCAACATTATCTGTAAAATTTAAGTTCATTAGTAATCAAGTTCTCTAATAACTTTCTAATTTCTTGAGCATTTGTATTCTCTTTGATGTTTCAGGATATTTTTCTGTTGAATAAGACCAAAATTATACTCTATGCAACGAAAATGTCATATGTACTGATGATCGTGAATAAACTAATAATTAGAGTTGTAAATGAAAATTGCATAAAAATAAAACAAAGGACTAAAGTAATGTCATTCTAATAATGATTTTTATTAACAGATGATATTAATGAGCTATCATTTACAGAAATAAAGAGGTACAATACATTAAGCAAAAAAAATCTAAAACTTAAAGAAACTCTTAATGCTATCTATCATGTTCTTACTTCGTTTAGTTGCTGAAGGTTCCGTTTTTGTGTCACCCGTGCTCTGACGATTTAAGGACTCATTTGGCTTATCTGTAATACTGTTTAATTCTTTATTTATACTATTTAGTTGCTTATTATCTGAAACTTCATTCAGTGTTATTTGTTGATTTGTGGTCAATTTATCTGATTTGGAAGGACTATTAGTTTGGTTATATGCATCCTTTGACACCTCATTTTGTACTAAATCTTGACTTTGAGTTGTCTTATTTGTTTGTTTCTTGATGATTTTTATATCATCATTTTCCTTATCAATATCTTTGAAGTCAATAAATTCGTCAGAGCACCCGAATTCCTATTGTTCCTTTACAGCTTTTGATTTCCTTGTTTGCCGTGTTGGCTTCTGACGTACCAAATCTGTACGTCCAATTGCAATCATTTTCAATTCCCAGGCTTCTAGATCTTTTCTGTAATAAATATGTCATTTGATTCAGTTAAACTGTACATATTCATTATACTCAAAAACATCTGAATTATTCATCTTACTAATATTATAAATGCGAATGTTTGGATAGATGGATAGAAGTTTGTTTGAAGGTATCTCCAGAATGGCTGTATGGATCTTATTAATTTGGCATAGATGTAGAACATAGCCTGGATAACACAAAGGCTAACCATTAATTTTTTTTTAATTTCGCATGGATGACAGCTAGTTATCTTAATAAAATGCCGTGATGAATTTAGGGAACTATAAATTGCTTTGTTTAATGTTAAGTGAGCTAAATTGTAGATCATTAATTTTAGTTGAGTTACCTACAACTAATGCTAGTATCTACATATCATTAAGCTTGTTTATAAAAGAGTCAAGTACCATCATCACTAAGGTATATTTTTTATCTCAAATAATGGATCTTTATAAATATTAAACTTATATATAAACACGGCTAAACACTCACGTATATTCGTCCGGTGGCGGCTCCAACTATAATAGTTTCGAGCCCATCGGGGGCCCTTAATCAGGATGAGTGGTACTGGTATTATTTTGCGGATGCGGCCTGTCGTTTGTGAGCAAATGAAGGGCCCCCGATGGGCTCTAAACTAGTCGGTGCCACCGGACGAATATACGTGAGTGTTTAGCCGTGTTTATATATCAGTTTAGTATAATATAAAGTCTCAAGAAAGTTTGAATAACTTTATAAATATATTTACTTACTTGTATTTATCCATGAGCACTTGAGCTTGTTTTTCATACTTAACTCTTTCACTTTCAGGCAACTTTATCCAATCCTTTTTTATCTGTTCTTGGTAATCTTTCATATTATTACCTTGAAGGAGATCTTTTTTCGTTTGTGTAAAAAGAAAGTAGGAAGACATTGGTTTCTTTGGTTTTCCCATTTCTTTTAATTCCTGTAAGAAAGGACAGATAAATTTCTCTTTGTATAACTTTAAACCAGATGAGAAGGCGGATAATACTGTCTTAATTTGGCATGGTCTTTGGGATACTTTTGGCATCTATCTTATACATAAATCTTCATAAGCTTTTAATTAATCTCATATATAACATTTTCATGTCACATTGTTAGTTACCATACTCCTCCAAAAAAGCTTGATCAGTTTTTATGAAATTTTATATGAAGCAGGTGTCAGGATTGGCTACTTTATATTTTTTTAATCCCGCATTACTTACAGCTTTAAGTTTTCTTTTCTCCTTAGCAGCAGCCATTTCACCTTTAAGCCTCTTTATATCTTCCTTTTGTTGCTCTGTCAATGATGCTTCATATAATTCCTTTATCTTTTTATAATCCTCCTGATCTTTTTCATATTCTTTTACCATTTGTGCTTTTGTCTGAAAAATATTAAGTAATGTAAAAAAATCTTGTTCAATTGTTATTGTTATATGTTATGATAAATAAGTTTGTAACTTCTTTCTCTGGTGGGCAGATAATGTGAAGTACTATACAAACATAATTAAGTTATAGAAATATTTTACACCTCACTATCAAGTTGTTGCCAATGTTTCGACATCCATGCAATAGACTCTTTAGATGTGATGCCAGGATTTTTAGCTAGAAGTGCTGGCCTCATTTGGGTCATAAATTTAAAAAAAGGTGTTAATGGCCTCTTAGGTTTTTCTATACCCAATTTCTCTTCAGCTGATTTCTTAGTGTATGAACATACTTGGATACTGTTTAACCAGTTTGCCCTGTAAAATGCAATGACTAAAATAAATACAGTTAAACGCCTTGTATGAAACCAATTGAAATTATTTTTCAATAAGTATACAAATAAGCGCTCCCAAATTATATAATACAAAATAGACTAGGTAAAAAGCGCATAAATCGCGCAATTTTAACACATAATGAAACAAAAAAGTTTGTAGTCAATAACAACAAATAAGCGTCATAACCTATAACTTGCCTTGTATGTAGAACAGTTTTATAGCTTCCTAACACGTAATTACTCAGACGACATATCTGAGTAATTGAAGACATTGTTATTTTCTGATAAATAAGGGATTATTATGTTATTTTATTCTAATGATTCAAAAACCACAACCGCAGCTTTTAAAAATAAAATTGACCACCACCATAGAGTATAAATCTCAGATTGTCAAAGACTATCAAGGTCACAGACTTTCTGGTCGATCTTTTCAAATCGACAAAAGTTTTATAATTTTAAAGCACAATATGATAATTAAATAAGGACAATATCAAAGCCCGAATTGTCAAAATCCGGATTTAGCAAGCCAATTATTTTATAGATTGCAAAGGCATGTATAATCAATAAATACACATTTTTTATTAGTTAAGCGCTTTCTGGCCGCTCTTTCGGCGATACTAAAATAAAATTAAGTCAATTCAAATTCAAATTAAATTTATAGAGATCACAGACCTATGATGGCATATCCTATTCCTTACATCTGGTTGATTATGTTTTCACCAACAAGATGGTCTTTACCTTCAATCCCTTCTCGGAAATGCTATGCTGCTCTGCTTTAGTTTACTACTTCAATAAAACAAAATTTGTATAAATTTGAATTCTTTATTAATATTTACAAATTTCCGACTTAAAACTAATATTTACAACATATCTTATTATCGACTATAGTCACTATTTTGGCAAAACGGAGGTGGGTATTTGCGTGACTTTCATTTCATCTTTAATTCTCTTAAGCTAAGTTTGCTCTATTTTTAACCCAGCTTTAAGAAACAAATTTCTATATTAATAAAACGGATAGCATGCAGTCTTGAGTTTAGGATGTACACTTTTTATAAATATTAACCTCTGTATCTATTCTTTTATGTATGATTTTACTAATTAAAATTTATAATTGATATAGTTTCAAACAAAACAGAAATAAAATGTTAAAAACGTTGTTTTCATCCCAAAAATTAAAATATTCGATAAAGTGACGGATATTTAAAAAAAAGTAAATTTAAATAATTTGATAAATTAAAAATTACAATATTTGTGACTAATTACAATTTCACGGCTCTTATGAGAGCCAACAAACGGTTTTTTACAAAACATAAATACAAAAAAATATACATTGTAACTAAGATTTATAAAACTAAATTGTTTAAAAACAAACGCACTTGAATTGTTTTTATTTTTAAAATGTCATATCTTACAATATCTATAATTAAAATTTTAAATACAATCTATAATCGCATCAATAAAAACGATTTTTCTATGTACATAATCAGGCCTCACATCAACATTTTAATTACGTAACCTTAAAAATCAATTGATGCAAATATAACAGTAATTAACAGACTTAATTTCAATGGCACTTCTTTATCTATGTCAGTGTAAATACAGATTATAATTAACGTCATAGGATGTGTTTTGACAGCAATTAAATTACACAGATTTGGGTTAATTAATTATCCCGTCAGTCATAGTATGGTTTCGCCAGCTGAATAATGATAATGCCTTGGTTTTCTGTAAGACTGGTGCTGTGGTGGTCTATAGGTGGCATACTTGTGTGTATGTCTTGGCAGAGAATGCGAATGTGTGCTGTAACATTGCAATGTCAACGGTGTAGGCGTCGGTCCCGCCGGACATTTAGCTAGCGTAGGCTTCGTTGGACCTGAAATTCTCCTCCAAAGCGCTTTCAAACGCGGCGTAGCTATCCAAACGGCGACCATGACGCCGAGAATTTGAGTCGCAAATATTCTAAACAGAAACACCCAGAATGCCGGCCGCGGCTGCGTCGACGGTTCAAATGAAGGTTCGGGAGCGGCCAGCCAATCGTCACGCCAAGTATACTCGTATATCCAAGTTGCCAATATACACGTTGAGGGTACAGCATAAAGCGCTGCAAACGCACCCAGTCTTAGTAGACTCTGATCTGTATGTGGCTGTGGTGGAGCGTTGAGAAGCGCTGCGGGCGCTGGCACGGGTGCCGGCCGTCGAAGGACAGTACGCAGGCCCGAGGCTAGGAACAAGCAGCCAAGCAGCAAGCAGATTGCTTCGGGTATAATGACCAGAGCTAGCAACGATTTACTCGATTGGTTCCCCACGAAGCAAGTACCTGGGAAAAATAAGAAAGAAAGGTTAAGAAAGGTAAATACAATTTATATAACCTTCGTATATAGTCCTCTGCTAGGTCCGCAATATTGTCTTAATTATATATAATATTTGCATCATGGCTTCGGTACTGTTAATTAGGGTTCCATTGATTATATAAATACACAGTTGCTATATGTTACATTAACTAATAGTGAATAACTATGCTGTCAGTGCAATGCAGCGGATACGAAGCCTTTCTCTCGAGTACCATTTATCGGTGCTGAATAACATTCCGTTTCCCTATAAAGCAGCTCTCAAAGCGAACACCTACACAAACAGCCGGCGAGAAAAAAGCCTCGCATTAATAAGGCAGCGGTTAAAAGGGCCGATTTAAAATTGAAATACGATCGTGCGAGGTGGAAAGGTGTCGTATTTAACGGCTCGAATAATGGCCGAGCATTTCTTTTGGCCAGTATTATAATGGAAACGAAAATAATAAAAATCAACCGACAATACACTCTGCAAGATTAAAACAGAACGCCTGAGAAATGGGCCGCTCGCTCCAGCTTTTAAAAATAATAAACGTGTTAGGACCTATGCAATCAGAGATATAAAAAGGAGATGAAAATGGAGAATATGAATGTGTAAAAAAACCCATATATAAAAAATGAGATAAAAGTTTGCACTTCTTTCTCATTAAGTCAAACTTTATATACAACAGTTTCGAGTCTAGCTTAATGCAAAGAAAATTCCGACAAGAATGTTCTTAATCCGATAGAAAGACAACAGAATATTTCGGTAGCGACTGATCATGGCGACAATTTAAATTATTCATGGTTCTTTATCAATAGACCAAAAACACCGCGCTACAAATTATCAAAGTAAATCATTATCAAATAAGCTGCGAAAGATATAATTCTTAATGGTCGACATTACAATAATGCCGCACTGATAAATTCGTGTTAATTAGTAAGACAAAACAATACGGAATAAACTTGTTACATCGCTTTGTAGTAAGATGCGCTGTTCACAAAGTTTAAGATTTGAATTCACCGACACGGTCGGCACGCGACTAATGATAAGATTCTGTTGTATAAAAGTTCCGCTTGATAAGATGCTGCGCAATATTTGTTTGTTTTAGAAGACAAATGTTAACTTTAGAGTAAAATAAGCTATCTACGAAACTTTGTCCGCATGGAATTAAAAATAGTTAGTAGCTTATAAAAGGTGTTTTTGGAATTACGAAAATTTTTGTAATTTTGGTTAAAATTATGATACAATTTTTGGAGCGTTCAAAAGTGTTCACCGGTAAATAGGTTCCAAAGGTCTTCAATATTGAACAGCGTATTTTTAACAAAGAATTGCTTCTTTTTTCTTAAGAGTCAGCATTATTAAGATTGGTCTGAATAGGCACGGTTGGTTGTTGAAGACAAAACGTTGAATGCGGTTATTGTATGAAACGCATGCTCCCGCGCACTCGTGCAAGATTTAATCGCTTTGAAAAACGCCGCCGATCAAATAATCAGGGGGAACATTACCAAGGAATCGTAATCGCTATTATACAGCCGATACGGATGTTAGAATTGTATTGATCCATGACGTATAAGAATTCTTCTTGATCCTTATTTTTTATTTACAAAATCATTCGGCGGAATATTTTTGTTTACAACTCAAACTAAAATGTTGCGAATTTTATCCTGCTACATATATGACAAGTACAGTATATCTTACTTATTACAATATATAAATTCTCGTGTCACAATTTTCGTTCCCATACTCCTCCAAACACGCACATGACAAACACGCGGACGGTGTCGCGGGCGACAGCTAGTATAATATAAATGCGAATGTTTGGATGGATGGATCAATTTTTGTTTGAATGTATCTCCGTAACCCCTGAACGGATCTAACTGCAATTTTGCATAGACGTAGAACATAATCTAGAAGAACACATAGGCTACTAATTAAGGTTTGTTAATTCCGCGCTGACAGCGTAGCAGGCGACAGCTAGTTTATCATAAATTCAATAACTGGGCTTTTATTACTATTTATAAACCAACGCAAGCTTTTAGACTGATGTAAGAAGTTGATAATTGATTACGCACCTAGTTTGCATCGGCAGACCGTTTTAATCCAATGGATATTAGTAAATTATATTCTTATATACAATTATTGCTTTGGACGAAATGTACTCAAGAGTTTCAAAGTTCATACGCTTAATTGTAATAGTATAAGCCTTAATTGGATTTTCCACTCGCATCCATCATTTAAGGCATAAAATAATCACAATAAATGACAAACTTAATACTTTTATGATCGTCGCGACGTAAAAGTTGCTTTAAATTTATCTTTAATACTAATTAGAAAACGTACGAGCATACAAGGGAATTAAATATTCCTTTTTTAATCCGTTTCACGTGTTAATTAAGATAAGAGTATAATCCATCTTAAAGTAATAAAACTTGGCCTAAAATAAAGTAAGCTAATTCCAGGGATTATTTAGTATTATTAAATTGACGCGACCCCGTTGCCATTGCTTAACGTCGTAGACCTGGGGGGTTAGACAAAGTGCATTCACTTCAAAGCTATTCTATCACGAACTTTAAAAATATATGGAACAGACGCGCGACAGTCACATGACTTATCAAGATATTGTCTTTATAGCGAATGCACTGCCTTACCCCCCCTGATTCGCTTGGAACAAGATAAATAGTTTGCAAACGGCCAACCTAACAATAGCAGTCATTAGAAATAGAATTATACTTCTGTAGTAATATACTTCTGCTTGCCTGTTAATGAATACAATGTTTCCTTACCAGTTAGTTCATCCGCATCGACATCTCTGGTGACAAGTACGGCGGCGGCAAGCGCAGCGGGCACCCCCCATGCGGCCAGTTGCAGCAGCGAAGAATGCCGGTCCCCACGAGATGCGCCAGCGCCCCCCGGACCCGGCGCACCCGGCGCAGGGGGTCGCAGCACACTAGCACGCCATGCTCCCGCTACTACCACCCACCTGAAATAAGGAAGTAATGATTTAATAGCCGTAGTATTAACATCAAACCAGTTGTACTCTTAGC